TTTTTGTGATCGTTTTTTTAGATGAAACTTTCATATTTTAAGAGAATAGGAATTAATTGATATATAAAAGAAGTTAAAAAAAAAAAACAACAAGAAAAATTTATTTAATTTAATCTTATAACGATTGCAGTTATAAAATTTCAGCTTGTCAGTGATATTTTTGGTTTTCTTATTATTAAAGTTTTTTTAATAAAAGAAATATAGTTTTATAATAAAATAATATATTTATATTTATACATTAATAAAAAATATAAGTCTACTTTTGTAAACTATAAATATTGTATTTATAAAAAAGATAAAAACTTTATAAATATTTATGATATATAATTTTTTTTTTTTTTTGTGTAATTAATTAATAGTTTTTTTTACTCGCTTGGAATTTTCTTTTAATATTTTTTCCTGAAATAATCATTAATAAAAACACAATCTTTAATCTTGTTTCTTCTTTGAAGCTTTCAATGACTCTATAGCTTTTGCCATTTTTTTTGAAGGACCAAAAAATTGGTTTTGAGAGTAGTCAACTGGAAAAAAATCAGTAACTTTTCTTTGTTTAACTTGTTTAGATTTTTTGTTTATTTCTTGTATTAAAGGAACCAAAACTTGATCGCTTTTATCTTGATGCCAACCTAAGTAGTTTTTTAATAAAATTCTTAATTGATCCAAATCTGGTTTCCCCCATTTAAATGGTGTTTCATCACTATCTACAGTAGGAGAATTATATTCTTTTTTAACATTTTCATATGGCCAGTTTTCAGATAACAGTATATCATTTGATAAAAGTCTCCTCCGTAAATTTTTCTCAAAACCTTTTTCTGAATTTATTATTTTAGAATTATGCATACCATTATTATACCAATCTCTAAAATTTTCTAAATTACCAAAATGAGCTAAAATTTCAATAGCTGTCACAGGACCAATCCCTTTAATACCAGTTGTATAATCACTACCCAATAAAAATGCCATTTCAATTAATTGCTCTCTTGACAAACCCAATGTACCAGCTATACTATCTAATCCATAAAACTCAACAAATTGTTTTTCTTGAAACATTTTCCTATAAATTTTACTTCCACCAAATAAGAAAACATCGCTATCATCTGTAATGATTCCATCTGCTATTTTCAACTTCATCAACTCTGCACATTGAGCTTCAGCTTCCATTGGTGCTGTAATGTAAGGTATTCCAAAACATTGCAATAACTCTTGAACTTCTGCTGTCATTTGTGGTGTAACTTCTTCTGCATCTCTCTGTAACTTTTTGTATCTAGTTATAAGTTGATTATAAGCTAATATGTCATTATGAGGGGTTGAGTCAGTAACTTTTGTATTTCCATCTTCTATAAAGACTTTGTTAATTTGTTCTTCTGCAATATTTGTTTTTTCAAGTGGCTCAATAAATTCATGATATTCTTCTTCTTCTTTATTCATTTGATCCACTAGCTCCATCTCTTCATCTTCAAAAAACTCATACTTTTTAAGTTTTTTATCTACAAGTTTAGAATTTTCTTTTTCTTTGTTGAGTTGAAAGAAGTCATCATCATCATTATCATAAGTTGTTGCAAAATCTAAGTCTTTTGTATTTGCAGATGTAATTTTTTCAGTTTGTGTATCCAAATTATTTAATAAAGAGTCTGATTCAATGTTGTCATCCAATTCATCAAATATACCTTTACTTTTGGTTGTAACTGGATGTTCAGAAGTCTTTTTTTCATGTATAATTATATTATTATTGGTTTCTAAATTAGTAATAGAGTCATTTGATTCTTTATCTTCCAATGATTGTTCAGATTCAATTAGTTTAGGTATTGGTTGTTTTTCTGTAGGTGGTTTTAAAATTTGTGCTGCTTCTATATTTTCAGACTGCAATTTTGACAAGTCTTTTTCAATACTCACATCCTCAAATTCTAAATCAGAATCATTAGAATTATCCGAATGAACAGCTTGGTGTTCATTACTATTATCATCTGTGACAGCAAATGTTACAGTTTTATTTTTAATATCTTTTTTTGGTTGCTCTGGTGATGTTTTCTCAACAGTTAAAATATCTGGCTCAGAAAATTCAAACGGCTTACTTTCAAATTTTGACTCCTTGTTTGGTAAAGCTGATTCATTAACCTCAATATTTGATTCTTCATTTGATTTTATTTCTGGTTCTTTTTTTTCAACAACAGAATGCTTCCCAATTACATTACTGATATCAATAATACTTTCTTTGATATCATCTGAAACAAAGTTTGTCAGTTCTCTTTTGTTGTTATCATCATTTACTTTATCTATTACTGGCTCAGTAGTAACTTTAGAAATATCTATTTGATTGCTATTTTTTCCAACATTCAAGTTAACATCCTCAAAATCATCATCATTGTCATTGTCACTATCTAGTAATTCCACAACTTTATCATTACATTGATTTTTATTAAACAAATTAATATTGACAATTTTATTCTTTTTTCTTTGTTTTTTGATTATTTCAAAATCATCATCTTCTTCATTTTCAAAAATATCTCTTTTCCTCTTACTATCTGTTTCATTTTGACTTGTCAAAGTATTTGGTTTTGATTTGTTATCTTCTGTTGAAGAAAAATTACTAATTTTATTTTTAAATGCAGAAAACGATGGTCTAACTTTTTCTGATGTTGCATCTTCAATTTTTTCATCTACTTCTCCTATTCTGTCAGTCAAATCAACTCTAGCCATATTGTAATTTTCAGTTGAAACAGTATAAGTTTGAGTATCATTGTTATCATCTGATAGTACAATTACTTCATCATTTGTTTTTATATCAATATCTTTATTTGAATCATCATTAGTTTTAAACTTACCATATGGAGATTTTTCAATTAGTCTTCTTTTTGTTGCATCTAACAAAGCTTTTATTGAATAATCTTCAGCTTCATTTTCTTTCTTTTTTTTCTCAAAAATATCCAAATCAACTTCCTCCCAGTCTTCCTCATCACTACCTTCTTCATTTTTAATTTTAGAAAGAGTATTTATTTCATCATTTGTAATATCAATTGCATTTTCTTTTGAAGAGCCATCTTTATTATCTAAAGACATTGCCCAACCATTATCTGTTCTTATTAACATATACATTTTTTTACTGCCAGAAACTTTACCTTTAGTAATTTGAGAGTTACCATGCAACCCTGTTGAATCAAGAAGTTTTTGAGAAAAAAAATTTCTTCTTTTAACCATTTCTATTTGAAATCTAGAAAATTCTTGCGGATCTGGAAACATTGCTCTTAATTGTTCAACTGAATAGCCCATTCTTAATCTAGATTTGGTTCTTAATGCATATAATATCATATACTGTGTTGATTTTGGTAAGCTATTAAAATCTTCAGATGCTGGATTAACACTTTCCAAATCTATACCTTGTAGCTCATCCTCAATATCATTAATTGTATTTTCATATTCATCTAGTGTTGCCATTCTACCATCATCCTTATGGTAATGCAATTCTTTTTGCTCTGGAAGTTCCCATTCACTTGATTTATGATGTGTAGAAATCAAATTAGATTTTTTTTTTTCTATATTTTCAACATCTTCTTCTTCAATAAAATTGTCATGACCCTCTTTTTTTTTATTCTGTTTATTTTTCAAATTTTTATTTAAAAGCTCTATTGCTAATAATCTTCTAGCTACTACTTTTGAAGACTCTCTATTTCCTTCTTTTTTTTGTTGTCTTTCTCTAATTGTATTTTTTTTCAATTCACAAACTTCTCCATCAAATACAAAAATAGGTTTTATACCATAATGTAAAAGTTTACAAATTCTTCTAAAAAAACCCATTAGATGAGCATTAATAAAAACATTATTTTCTTCAAGTGTAAATTCACCATTATACTGTTTGCTCTTTTGATGCTTCAATGCTGTTATAAATTGGTATAACCAAATACTTGCATCAACTGCTAATACTTGATCATTTAAAGAATCTAGTTTAATTGGTTTAGATGATGGTTCAAGGATAGTCCAAAGTTTATGGACACCCATTATTATTTAATAAATATTGGGGGGGGGGGCGGTTTGTTTTTTTTGTTCAGGTTTATCTTGTAATTAATTACTTTTTTTTTTTAATTTTATTTTCGCGAACTTTTAAAGGGTTTGAAAAAAAAAAAAAAAAATATATATATATATATAGCGTCTTTTTCTAAAAAATTTAAACAATGCTTTAACAGTAAATCATATCTTATAACATTTTTCTAATTTAACAAATATAATAAAAAATTAAATAAACTTTAATATTAAATTATTAATTTTTATATACTATTATATTAATAAAAAAGTATAAAAAAAACCCCTTACAAAACTCTAAGCCAATTTATATTAATCACATGACATACTCAGGGTAACATAGATCAATTTTTAAAAAACAATTGTTATATGAAAAACCGTTGATATTATTTTATAATATTAAAGGTATACATTTTAGTTGCTTCTGAACTAATTAACTAACTCCAGAACTTTATATATTTTGAATTCTAGGAATAAATAAATAAAATAGTTGAAATTATTATTCAATGTTTTATATAAGAATTTTGAATAAATAAATAAATAAATAAAACATTTAGAATTATTACTCATTTTTTTATTTATGAATTTGAGAAAACAAAACATATATAAACAGTTGTTTTTGAACTTTAAAATATTTTGTTAATTTCGATATAACTCTCTTTAAAGTAATGTTTTTAATTATAGTTATGGTTATTACTCAAACTAGAAACTTATATAAACCAAGCATATATATTTTGTAATTTAATCTTTATTTTATATTATCATTCCAATATAACTTATTAAGTATAGTGCCTCCTTTGAAATAATTAGTTTTAATTAATAATCTTGATTTAATTTTGCTAACTTCTATGATATTTGTTTTTAAAAAAACAAATATCAAAAAATTAGCAGCTCTGCTGGCGTAATGGCAACGCGTTTGACTTCTAATCAAGAGATTCTGGGTTCGACCCCCAGGTGGAGTGCTTAATTTTTCTGTTATATCTTTAGCTCTGCTGGCGTAATGGCAACGCGTTTGACTTCTAATCAAGAGATTCTGGGTTCGACCCCCAGGTGGAGTGCATATATCTTTTTTGCTAGTTTAACAGCAGAATTATGTATATTTTTTAGTACATTGTTTATAGCTTTTTGTCATAACAGTTAATTCATTTTATTGTATAATTATTATTCCATAGATCTTTGGGTTAATTAGCATTGTTAAAAAAAAAAAAAAACTTACCGGAGTTATTAACTTTTTTTTTTTATGTAGATTTTTTTTTTCTGACTCATTAAATTGAGAAAATTTGATGATATGATTTAGAAGATTAAAAAAAAATATTAATACATTTTCTTTTTAAATAAAAAAGTAAAGGATATAAACCAATCAAAGTTGTGGTTGTTAAATTGAACTAAGTAGTTTTAATAAACATTACTTATATATTATATATATATAAAGACAAAAAAACGGAAACTCTTAACTAAACCCTACTTTATAATAAATACAATTTTAATTGAAAATGAGTACTTCTAATAAAGATAATGAAGTTGAAACTTCTAAAGTACTTTTGAATAACAACAATATACTAGTTAAAAATGATTCTCCAATGAAGAACAAAAATAACTCCAACAAATTTTTTAAAAAAGATAAATCTGTAAGTATGTTAGAACATAATTTAACTTATCATGTAAGAAAAACTTTTACAAAAATCCACTCAAGTACTGCATCACAACAAAGTACTCAAGAGTCAATTAAAATATTGAAAAAGCAAAAACAAGCCTATTTGAAAAGATTATCTTTGATAGGATATTGCCTATCGTTAGTATCAAGTTTAGCAGCTGGTTCTGTTATGATCATATCCTTATATTCTTCCACTTGGCTAACTCTTTTAAATTACAATTCTTTTCAAATAAACTTAATATCAAGTGCTATCAATATTGGTGCTTACATGGTTCCACCAATTTTAGGTGCAATTTGTGATACACATGGTCCTGTAACTTTATCACTAATATCATTTTTTAGTTTTGTACCACACTACTATATAATGAGTAGAATAGGTAGTATTCCTATTAGTGAAGTTAAACATTTCAGTATTATGATATATTGTTGTGCTATGATTGGTTGTGGAACTTCATCACTATATTTTGCTTCTTTGATTTCATGTGCTAGATTTTTTAAAGAAAGTAAGATGATGTCTGTCTCTATGCCAACTACATTGTATGGATGTGGTTCTGTTTTATTTGCTTATGTAGTTACACACTGGAAGAAGTTTAAGTTAATACCTAAAGATAAAGTAGAATTTAATTCTGATACAACATTTTTAAATTTGCAACAAGTCTTCAAATATATGGCTTTGTTTTATTTTATTGTTATAGTCTTAAATTATGTTGCTACAGCAATTGTTACTCATTTAAAATTAGAATATGAAGAAGAATTAGAGGAAGTTGAAGTCGCAGAAGAAAGAAATCCGTTACTTCACAGAGATAATACAAATTATGAAGCAATTACAAGTGATGATGATGATGAGGAGGATGGAGAATCCGTATCAATTGATGTTGAGAACAATACTCCTGATTTTGTTTCAGAAAATAATACTGAAACAGATACTTTGACAAACAAGTTACAAAGATTTATTAGAAACAAAAAGACAGTACTTTTATTTTTAATAGTATTTTTATCAATTGGTTGTTTAGAGACTTTTATATCTAATATGGCTGCTATTTCTGAATTATACTCTTCTGATAAGCTTATTTACTCCCCACAAATTGCATTATCAAACTTTTCGATTTTTTCCACTTGCATAAGATTTGTTGTTGGAATGGTTGTTGATTTATCAGCAAAAAAATATGGTAAGCATAGTAAAAATGTTGATATTTACTTGATGATATGTCTTTTGATTTTAGGATTAATAAGCCAAACTGTAATGTATCTTTCAAATTCATATTTGAATATACTTTCTGGTGTAATGGGTATCTCTTATGGTGGATTGTTTACCATCTTCCCAATCATAACTTTAAATCATTATGATGATAGTATATTTGCTATTGCTTATGGATGTTTTTTATTGGCTCCAGCTGCTGGAACTCCTCTATTTTCCCTAGTATTTGCAAAGATATTTGATAAAAACCAATGTCTAATCTCATGGTTTAGCTTTTCATGTATTAATTCAATCTTTTTGATAACAAGTGGTGCTTTTGCTTTTTGTTTATTATTGAGTGTAGGGATCACTATTTTTGGAAGAAATAAAGAAGAAGCTGATATAAAAGAGCATACAAATGATTCTAATACACAAGTTTAAAAGAGAAAAAAAATTATAGAAGGAAATAAACATTATATTTTGGAATTAAATAATATATATATATACTTGTTCACATTTATAGATTGCTGCATATAAAACAGTTCATATAATATTTTATTTCAAATTAATAAAATCTATTTTGCACTGATAATATCCGATGTGAACTTGAAAATTTTTTTTTTTATTTAATTTATTTTATTTTATTCTTTTTTTTTCCAGGTTTGCTGTTCGAAAAAAAAAAAATAATTAAATAAGACACGTAACTTGATTTAAAAAGGAAACAGTGAAATTTTTATAATTATTTAAAAAATAAAACAAATGAAAAAATTTTAAAGTACCAACGAGAAACAAGAATAAAGAATAATAATATTTATATAGTTTTATTTTTTTTAATAAATTAATATATTACTTATTGAACTCCACCGTGTACGCTAGACTAAATCAATTGTTTGTTTACTGCTAGTTTTAACATATCCTCAACTTTTCCTTTCCATTCTTTATAACCAAAAAAAAAAAACATTTGCTATTAGCATTTATATTTCTCTTGTTCATTCATATTCTTTAATATATACATAAATAAAAAATGAGTAGCAATCCTATTTTACAAGCTTTCCAACCATTCCAACAATATTTGCCTGAAGTCATTCAACCGACAAGACCAGTTCCATTTAAACAAAAAGTTATCTGGACTGTTCTTTCTTTGATGATCTTTTTGATTATGAGTGAGATTCCATTGTACGGTATTATGTCCAATGAACAAGCTGATCCATTGTATTGGTTAAGAGCAATGACTGCTTCTAACAGAGGTACTTTAATGGAATTAGGTATTTCACCAATTGTTACCTCATCTATGATTTTCCAATTTTTAACAGGTGCTCAAATTTTGACTATCAACAGAGAAAATAAAAAAGATGTTGAATTATTTGAAGTTGCTTCTAAAGTTGTTTCCATCTTGTTGACCATTGGTCAAGCTTTAGTTGTTGTAATTTCTGGTTCTTATGGTAAACCATCTGATTTGGGTATAGCCATCTGTTTGTTACAAGTTTTACAACTGGTTTTTGCCACCTTGACTGTTTTCCTATTAGATGAATTAATGAACAAAGGTTACGGTTTAGGATCAGGTATTTCTTTATTCACTACAACTAACATCATTGAACAAATCTTTTGGAAGATCTTTGCTCCAACTACTGTTAACTCTGGTAGAGGTACTGAATTCGAAGGTGCTATTATTGCTTTTTTCCACTTAATGATTGTTAAGAGTGATAAGAAGAGAGCTTTAGTCGAAGCTTTCTACAGAGAAAACTTACCAAACTTGTTTCAAGTTATTGCCACTGTTTTAGTCTTTGTTGCTGTTTTATACTTGCAAGGTTTCAGATACGAAATTCCTGTCAAGTCTAACAAGCAAAGAGGTTCTATGGGTGCTTATCCAATTAAATTGTTTTACTCATCTTCCACTCCATTAATGTTACAAAGTGCTTTAACCTCCAATGTTTTTTTAATCTCTCAATTACTATATGCCAAATTCCCAACAAACTTTGTTATTAGATTATTGGGTGTCTGGGGTGTTCCAACAATCAATGGTAAAGTAGTTGGTGGTAACCAAAAAGTTGCCATTGGTGGTCTATCATACTACTTGCAACCACCATTGAACTCCACTGATGCTTTAATCCATCCAGTTAAGACATTGTTATACATTGCCTTTGTTTTAGGTACTTGTGCTGTCTTCTCTGTCACTTGGTCTGAAATCTCTGGTACTTCTGCCAAGGACATCACAAAACAATTCAAACAACAAGGCATGGTCATCACTGGTCAAAGAGAAACTTCTGTTGGTAAGACTTTGAAAAAAATTATTCCAACTGCTGCTGTTTTGGGTGGTATCTCTATTGGTGCCTTATCTGTAGGTAGTGATTTGTTAGGAACTTTAGGTTCTGGTTCTAACATCTTGATGGCATCCACCACTGTCTACGGTTTCTATGAAAAAGCTGTTAAAGAAGGTGGTTTATCTAAAAAGAAAATCGTCAATGGATTTAACGATTTGATGTAAAATATATATAAATCAACACATTTAACATTGCTCTAATATAGTATATAGATATAAAAAAAATAAAATAAAAAAAAAAGAAGAAGAAAAAGAATAAATTATATGTTTATTTTGATTTTTATTAATAAACTGGATAATCGTCACATGAACAGAATAATAAAAATAAAATATACAAAAAAAAAAAACAAAAAAAACTAAAAGGTGAAATTTAAAATTTTTTTAAAAATTATTTTTTTTATGTTCTTTTAAACAAAATAAAACTTATACATTACTATATACCAAAACAAAAAATAACAACTCATTATAGATGGTCCATTTAAGGGTGTCAAAAAGAGCATATGCCACTGATAAGCTCTTAACACTGTCACCAAAATGGCGTTCAAAGACAACAAATCCAACTTTTAAAATACATAATAGTCCCAAATCATTTAAAAATGCTAATGATCCAAAATACATTTTGTCAATGTTCTCATATCCATCAGGAAATTTGCATATAGGACACTTGAGAGTATACACAATATCTGATTGTATTTCAAGATATTACCGTTTGAAAAACCATCCTGTCATTCATCCAATTGGATGGGATGCATTTGGCCTTCCTGCAGAAAATGCTGCTATAGATCGTGGAATATCTCCAGCGACTTGGACAAAAAGTAATATAGGAACAATGACTACCCAAATGAAAACTTTTGATCCTGCTTTTGATTGGAATAGAGAAATTAAAACTTGCGATGAAGATTATTAT